AATGTGGAAAGGCAGGGGAGTGTGCAAAGGAATGGGGATGTGCAAGGGAATGGGAATGTGCCAGGGAATGGGAGTGTGCAAGGGAATGGGAATGTACAAAGGCAGGGGAGTGTGCACGGGCATGGAGACACAGGAGCGTGCAAAGGCACAGGGACACAAGGTCATGGAACTGTCCAAAGGCACGAGAACAGGGGTGGGGACAGGGGCACACACGGGGACAGGGACGTGGATGGCAGCTGCAGCCCCGTGTCCCCGCAGGAGCTGCCTGGCTGCCCGAGACCCCTATTGTGTCTGGCTGCCCTCCAGGGGCTGCGTCCCCTTCTCCGAGGACCTTCCGTGAGTGTCCCTCCCATCCCCGGGCTCCTGGGGCCCTGCCCCGTGTTGGGGGGACACGCTGGGGACAGAGGGTGATGTCCCCTCTGTGTCCCAGGAGTGGCTTCCAGCAGGACGTGGAGGGATCCCTGGGGATCAGCGGGACCTGCCAAGGTGAAGTGGGGGAACAGGGGGGACACTGGGAATGTTTGGGGATTTCTGGAGACACGAGGTCACGGGGGGATGCAGGTGGCACCACGGTGACACTGGGGTGGCTCTGGCACACATGATGCCAGAGGATGGGGAGGACGTGGAGGGGACAGGGGTGGCTCCAAGGGACACGGGGGGGCCTGGCCTGACCCTGCTCTGCTGTCACAGGGGCTGCAGAGGACAGTGACGAGGATGGAGACCTGGCCCACGGTCAGTGACGTTGTCTGGAGCAGGGAGGGGTGTCCCAGGGGGGGCAGGGACACCCCAGGGTTTGGGGAGGGGGGCACCCAAGACTGGGGAGGGACTGCAGTGTCTCAGAGACAGGTATGAGACCCCCAGGGACAGGAGAGAGACCCCAGGGGTGGGATAAAGATCCCAAGGGTGAAAGAGGGACCCCAAGGAAGGAGAAGGACCCTGGGGTGGGGGAACCCCAGTGACCACGAGGGACCCCAGGAAGAGGAGAGGGATGAGGGCGGACCACCGGGACCCCAGGGATGGGAGGGGGAACCCCAGGAGTGTCAGTGGGAGGGCAAGGGTTATCGGCCCTCCCGTTGTCCCGTTGTCACCGGGCTGACGGGTGGTCCCGCAGGGGTGCGGCACCCGGGCCCGGAGGCCGAATCGACGGTGCCGGTGCCGGTGCTGGTGGGCTGCGTGCTGGGCGCCTTCGCCCTGGGAGCCCTGGCCACCGGGCTGGTGGCCACCTGCTGCCAGCGCCCCGCCGTCCCCAAAGCCCCCCCGGAGCCGCCCTGCGCCCCTCGGACCCCGACCCAAACTCCCGTCCCCCGCCTGTATCCCGCGCTGCCGCCGCGGGACCCCCCCGAGCCCGAGCCCGAGCCCCCCGCGCTGCCCCCGGCCCGCGCACCCCGCGACCGGGAGCCCCGGCGCGGCCCCGCGGAGCCCCCCGGGCCGGGACCACCGGGCAGGGCTGCCCGGGAGGAGATGCCGCAGCGGCTGCCCGGGGGCTCGGGGTGGCCCGTGACCCCCCCGGGCACCGGCTCCTTTACCAACCGGGTGCTGCCGCGCTCCGCGGGTCCCGGACCCCCCTTCGGCCCCCACGACCGGGCTCCGGTGCGCCTGGATGTGCCCCCCGACAGCCCCCCGGCCCCGCGGCGGCCGCTGGCACAGAGCCGCTCGCTGGGGGGGACCCCCGTGAGCCCCCCCGGGCCGCCGCGGGGCCTCACCCGCATGCACTCGTTGGGGACACCGGGGGGGACACCCTGGGGACCCCGGCCCGGCGCCCTGGAGCGCTCCCTGTCCATGAAGCCCCCCGTGCTCCCCAAGCCGCTGCTGCTGCCCGCGGCCCCGGGGCGGCACTGAGACCCCCCCCGGGACACCCCAACTGCAGCCGGGGGACCCCGCGCTGTCACCTTCCCCCAGCTCTCTGTCCCCACGTCACCAGGACAGCCCCCAGCAGGGTGACAGGGATCCCCGTGTCCCCACGTTGCAGTGACAAGGTCTCCATGTCTCCCGTCCCCCTGGTTTTGCTTTTTTTTTAAATTCTTTCTAATTTATTTTCTGTTCGGCGGGGGGATGGGAGTTGCTGTCACCCCCCCTTTGGGGACACCAAGAAGGGGGACACATGGCCCAGCCCATCCTACTGTGTAGGACCAGGGCTGGGCCGGGGCACTGCAACAGTGGCACAGGATTTTAATAAAAAATACAGAACAAAAAACGAGCCTGAATGTTGAAATTTCTGCATTCCAAAGCGTTTTCGTTGGTAGAAAAGCGGGGGCAAGCCTTTGTGTTCTTGTCCCAGCACTCAGGGAATCCATCCCCGGTTTCTTCAGCGATCAAAACAATGTGATAAAAATCCAAATTAATCAAATTTGCCCCAAGGAGGGGATGGGGGTGGAAGGGAGGCTGCCCGACCCCCCAGCTCTGTGCTCCCCCTTCCTGGGCGTCCCAGCAGGATTTGGCATAAACCGCTCACAGTCCCTGCAGACAGGAGGGAAACACGTGCCCAATTAACCCCAAAGCGTGCTAATTAACCCCAGAGTGTGCTGATGAGAGGCAGGGCAGGGATGCCACGCCAGGCTCGGGAAGGGCGCGGGCAGGAAAAGCCCTGACACGGCACAGCGCGGCCTGGCCTCCCGTGGGAGGGAATTTACTGACCAAAAAAATGCTGCTTTTGGCTTAAAAAGCTCCTTGGTGTTTTTCTGTGGAAGAGGTGGGTTGGGATTCCAGGCAGAGATCAAATCATCCTCAGTTTTGGTCGGCTTTGGTACATGGATACTTCCAGAAATTAAATCAGGGGATTCCCCTCCAAAAGGTGACAACATCCTCAGCTTTATTTCCTCCAAAAATAACCCAAACATGGGAACTGTCCCACGAGCCCCATGGACTTTTTATTTTTCATTTCCTCTTCCAAATGAGAAGGTTTTTCCCCAGTGGAAGGGATTTTTTTTTTTTTTTTTTGGCAAAATCACCTGTTTTGGGGAGAAGGATGGCAAGAACTGAGGGTGGCAGTGGGGAAGGCACAATACACATCAGCTGCATGTTAAAAAAGGGTTTGGTTCTTTAAAAATAGAAATTTTAGTTTCAAAAAGTGACATTTGTATCTCCAAAGACAAGCAGACTCCCAGGCTGCCATGCCTGGATTTCCATGTGGCAGCAGTTTACACCACTGGCCAGTGTGGGAAGTAAAATATTTGCCTAAATATTGTAAAACCAAGGATTTTTTTTTTTTATTTTGGGTGTTTTGAAGAAAAACTCCCTCAAATTCTTCCTGAAACAAACAGGTGAAGGATGCTTTTCCCTGAGAGTGTGAGATGCTCCACGTGACAAACATTTGACATTGCCTCAATCCAAAAATTACCAATTTTGGAAGAAGAAATTCATGGATAAAAGGAAAAAAATCCCTTCCACACCTCTGCAAATATTTAAAGCAACACACCAAGAGAATATTTTTGTTGCCATTCCAGATCTGGTCCCTGGGATTTGCAGGTCCTTGCACAAGGTCTGGAATTCCCAGGCAGCTCAGCACTAATCCAGCTGCTTTGGCACAGTGGGATTTCTTCCCATTCCCAACAATGCAGGTATTGACATCCCAGAATAAGCCTGGATCACCTGGCTGGGTGGAATTTTGGGGAAAAGCTTCGGATCTCTGCAGGTCAAGGTTTCAAAGCACTTTGTGGCACGGCAGGAAGTGGACACCCCTGGATTTAACCAAAAAGAGAGGAAAAGAAGCAATTTTGCTTTCCAAATGCCAGGATCAGGAGGTGACAGTGTCATTAGGTGATCCAGGCTGGTGGGTGTTCCCACAGCACGTGGGGAAATGTGGGAAGGTAGGTGAGATCCCACCTGGATGAATTTCAAAGGTTGGAAAGAGGTGGAACCAAGGTGCAAAAAAAATAAAAGTTAGCAGTGAGGAAAAGTTGGGAGGGAAATGAGAAAAACATTTTTCCTCCTGAAGGAGGGATGAGGAGCCATTCCTGCTTTATTGCTGAGACCTGGGTTATGCCCAGCTCCTACTGGGAATCCTAAATCATCCCAGTAAAAGCTCTGAGGTTTGTCACAGAGCCCAGCCAGGAGTATCCACCTTGTGTTCCTTGGAGTCATCCCCTCTTTGTTCCACTCCTTGCCTCTTAGGAGGAGGCAATTCCAAATCTGAAATATTCAAGTGTTTCACCCCAGTGGGGCTGGCAGAATCCAAAGTCAAACATTTTCATCTTAAAAAGAACCACGTGAGGAAAAATAAAAAGTATAATTTTGATGCCTCACTAATGGAACTTCCAGCCCAGACAGGGTGAAGGAGAGGAACAGAAAGCTCTCCTGGATAATTCCTGTCTCTAAGCTCCCAAGCAGCTTTAAGCACATGCAAGAGCTGCAAATTTCCAGAGAATAAATATTTTAAATCTGTAAACATGAGTTTTTGCTTTGGGAAGGCAGAGTTTGGCCAAGCAGGGAGGAGAAAGCTCATGTGAGTGACTGAAGGTAGCACCACCTAAACAGTTCCCCCTTTGTCTTCCTGGTGGGTCCCAAGCCAGGAATGATTTGTAGTAATTTGGCAAATAATTCAGAATAATTAACAGCTTTAGAAAATTGTTTTTCAGCAGGGCAAGTCTGTAAACAGACAAAACTGATGTAACCCGTCTCCGTGCACGCATTAAAGAGCTGCTCTGCTTCCTAATCCTCTTTTCCTGCCCCGAAGTTAATCCAAATAATCAAGTATCCCTGGGACACGCTGGAAGAATTGGCGGTAGTAGGCAAGGCTGGGGAATGACATCCCTTGAGGAAACAAAGCAGAGCTCTGGAGCTGTGCCCTGCTTTGCTGAACACCATTTGTGTCTGTCTCGTAAAATAACGAGATTACAGTGCCCCGGGCAGTTTAATGGCAGGACAAGGTGGACTGAGGCTGATATTAATGGGACAGTATGAAGTTTTAGATAAATGATGGAGTAACAGGTTGGGGTTTCATGGGTTGGATGATTTATTCCCAGACTGGGACGTTCCCCACAGGATAAAGGAACAGCCTCTGCCAAAGAGACAACGGCCAACTTGGCATTTCTCCTCCTGAGGGCGTTGGGTTTCCAGGAAAAACCCAAAATATTCCAGCGTGGTTTAAGTGGCGCCAACAGAAGCCCCACGGACACTCAGCCCCCAGACCCCACGAGTTCCACAGGAGCTGGAATGTTTCCTTCTGGAACTGAACCTGGCTGCTCCTCACCTTGTGCCCACCCTGCTCCTCCTGGCAGGGACAGGTGGCTCTGGGGACAGTGGCACTCAGGAGCTGGAATGTTTCCTGCTGGAACTGAACCTGGCTGCTCCTCACCTTGTGCCCACCCTGCTCCTCCTGGCTCTGGGGACAGTGACAGGAGCTGGAATGTTTCCTTCTGGAATTAAACCTGGCTGCTCCTCACCTTGTGCCCACCCTGATCCTCCTGGCTCTGGGGACAGTGACACTCAGGAGCTGGAATGTTTCCTTCTGGAATTAAACCTGGCTGCTCCTCACCTTGTGCCCACCCTGATCCTCCTGGCTCTGGGGACAGTGGCACTCAGGAGCTGGAATGATTCCTTCTGGAATTAAACCTGGCTGCCCCTCACCTTGCTCCTGGCAGGGGCAGGTGGCCCTGGGGACAGTGGCACTGGGGTGGCACAATGCACAGCTCCTGCTTCCACCACTTCCTCCCTCTTACCTTGGAAAATAAAGCAAAGAGCAGAGAAAAGAGTCAGGGCTTCCTTCTCTCTTCCTTGAATACAAACTGAAGGGGAAAGGCTCGAGTGCGTGGCTTGAGACTCCTGGGATTATGGAAAACAATGTGGGAATACAGTAGGTTTTAAAAGAAAGAAAATAACACCACTACAGCTCAGCAAAACAAAAGTTTCAGGGTAAACCCAGCGTAGTTGCAAGGTCCAAACAACCTCCAAGATCATCGAGTCCATTTGGAGGCTGGATTGATGATCCTGGAGGTCTTTTCCAGCCTTAATAATTTGATTTTGTGCACATTAATAAACACCAGCACACCAATGAGAAGCTCTGGAACTGGAGGCAGCAGTTTAGCAGCCCTGGCTCTGCAAAGCTTCCTTCCCTGCCCCTTCCCTTGGCTGCATCCTGCTCCCAGAGCAGGAAACTGGGACCTGACCTGTGCTGGGTGCCAGAGAGGAAAACACTTGAGCACCACGGGTCAACAAATCAGGGCTGTGGCACCAGCAGCTTCAAGAATTTAAATTACTTGTACTCTAGACTCTAGGAAAAAAAAAATGCTTAGCTTTGGGGAAGAGAACGGAATTGAGAAGTGAGGGGATGAGATAAACTTCCACTTTATCAAATTCCTAAATCCGAAGTTAATTAAAGGTCAAACAGCATAAAAGATGATTTTGAAAAACAACACAAACCTTTCTGTAAGAAGGACTTGTCAGAGCCTCAGTGTGGGGACAGGAAACATTTGAGACAATTTCACTGTTTACCCAGGTTTGTATGTTACAGTCAATCCATTTCTGCAGCAGGTTTTATTATTTATTTTTTAAATAACTGTTAGAGCACATCAAGGGCTGCATATGGCAACATCAGACATGGTGGTTCATTTAAAATTTAATAAAAATTAAGTTATTTCTATTGGTATCCATCAGCGTTCCTTTAATAAAGTTTGAACTGGGATTAAATCGATAAATCACCCAAAAAGCAGCTCACTGCAATGGGATATTGACTGAAATGAGATAAACAAGCCTTCTCAGCCCCAAAAACAATGTTTCTTCCTGCAATTGACCATAGTAGCTGCTATTCAATGCAGACTCCGTAAGAATGGGGCAGGAAATTACCTAAAAGGGCGCAAGCTCAGTGCAGAGAACCCACAATTCCTCTTTAAAAGGGAAAAAAAGAGATCCTGTTCCTCCTAGATCAACAGATTATAGGCACACAGAGGGAAGGTCACCTAAAGTTCTTCTCGTTTAACCCTTGCAATTTGTTTTTTTCTCTCTTCTTTTACCTGATTTAGCAAGTTTATCAGGTTTGTTTCGTAGAATACTTGTGCTGGCAGGTGAAAACAGCCCAAGCCTGGAGTTTTCAGCACCTTGTAACCAGATTCCCCTTTAGCCCAGCTAAAGATCCTTGTTGCCATTTAAAAAAACAAGGAGAGAGACAAGAAAAGTCTTTATCTGGAAGTGTTAAATTAAAGGGTTCTGTTACAATTACAGCGGTTGCTGATGCCACCTCGTGGGAAATGCAAAATT